TACTTTAGCATTTAAAGTTAGCATCACTTTCGTGTTGGTTTTAGCCTTTTCATGGGGTTTGTTGACAAAAACAAAAAAACATCACCAGTCTTATTCCGTGAGGGAAAACGAGGAACTGTAGTAACTAAGAATTCTGTCTCAACTTGTTTACTCGCTGGTCTCCTGTGTTTCCTCCAAACATCGCTACTGTCAACCGCTTTGGGTCGGCTGAAGTTCAGCCGGCTCTTGACGGACCGCTCAGAGAACCTTAAGAATAATTTAAACCCTGTATTCCCGAAGTCCTTTAGTCACCACTATGCAGAAGAAGGAGGTGGACTCATTTGACCTTTCTTAGAGGAGATAGCCATTCTGGCTCCACTAATGTGACACTGCTCCAATTATGATGCCAACTGGTTTCTGAGAAAGATAATATTCATGCTTGATAAATTGAAATTTCCTCTCCTTATACCTTTTTTTTCTTTCCCACCATGACTAAAAGGCTAAACCATTCCTGGGTACCATACTGGTGTCAGCGGCTACGATTATTATCATCATTATTGCTGCATTAATAGGCTTTATGTCCCCCTTATCCCTCCATAGCAACCATCTCTGTGCTGTTACTGCCGTTTCCCCGTTTCCTTATGATTTTCCTTATCTGTCCTCTGAGTCATCTCTCTTTCTTCCTTTCCTCCCGTTGTCTTTAATGTCGTCGTCCTCAGGTGTCCCCACAGCTGCTCTGTTCTGGATTCCCTCCTCTCTTCTACTTGTCACACATCTGTCCCCGTCTTTCCTTTTTATTTTCATAACAAGGTGTCTCGTCCTTTTCCTTCTCGCTGTCGAATCGCTCCATCCTCTCCCCGTCTCTCTTTCCTCTCTCCAGCTCATCCCGAGCTGGTGAAACAAACAGGGAGGCTACTTTGATGTGGCTCCAGTTCCCAGGCCCCGTGGTCCTGGTCTGAGCATGGAGGTTTCCAAGTTTACCCTCCCGGGCTCGGCGGTGATAACGGCCGGGGGTGAAGCCGACTGGGTTCTTCTCACGCAAACACATGTATGTGGGTCCGGTCATCAAAGAGCTCGGAGACCTCTGACTTTGCAAGCTAACACGACAGAACATAGACCACTAAATACCTTGAGAGATGCCTCGTGGTCACGTGCACCACAGGTTTCCATCTAAACTGACCTCAAATGCAAGAAATAAGTGGCTGCTGCTTTAAAAAATCTATCCTCGAGCATCAACACACCAACGTGGTCGAAGAGCTTTTGCCGTGACTTAAACAAACGGTGCTGAGCCCTCATTAACATGCGTGTGATCAGACTGCGATGGACGCCGGCGCTGTGACCTTGACACTCAGCTGGTACAGTGGCGCTGGGCGGTGTGATTACACTGGGCCAGCTCCAAGGTTCCAATGTGTTTGACCGCAAATGTGAAGCAGAGTGTTGGCAGAAAAGATGCTACGACGAAATAACAGAAAAAGAAAAAAAAGGCTACAAAAAAAAAACCATATTGACACGCACAAAATAAAACAAACAAATGCAAATGTACCTCTAATCTGCATACTGCAGCTACGCCAAAAAAACACGGATGCAACCGAAGACTGCCAAAATCGAATAAACTCAAATGAAAGAGAAGTAATTGGTGAAACAAGACGCACTGCATGGACGATGAAAAGCCTTAAATGTGAACAGAGATTCTCATTTAAAACGCGAGACAGAAGTTAATTTTATTTTTAGCGTTAAGCGCCAAAATCATTTAAATTGCATTAATTAGAGTTATACAGAGTTTAACATTATTATGATTGTTGTTAACAGGTAAATTAACTAAAGAAACCAAAACCAATTTTTGTTTATTTCTGCTGTAAAGTTCAACATGAGGGTCAATGGGGATCAGCTCGCTTTTGGAGGCAGCCCCATGTGGCCATTAGCAGAACTGCAGTTTTTGGCACTTCAGCATTGGCTTAGTAAGAACTGTGCAAACATAACATAAAGACCCTTTGCTATTATTGTAAACAAGATCAGGAGTTTTTAGTCATGCTAACCACTCTTTGAGGCGATCTGAGCTCTGGTCATAATGCTTGCAGTGATTAATGTTAGCATGCTACTGTTTCAGAGCTAGAAGTGGTTAGTGCCCTTACCATATGAGTAGCAGTGGATCTCCATTTTCTACAGGTTTCTGCTCTTTCTCAGAGATTTCTTTCTCTCTTTACTGTCCTGTCAAATAACGGCTACACAAACAAATCCTTAGAAACAAACAATTACTGCCTTTGCTTAATGTGTTAACGCACTAGCAGCAGATGGGAATGCCATATAAACCAGAGCTATAGGACAACGTGAAGTCTTAACCTGAAGATGTTAAGATCTACTTGTGAAATATGTATAGTTGGATCGATTTTCTCAGCAATCTATCCAACATTTGAGACATTTCCCCTAAAACCAGTAACAGCAAATTCAGTGGATACCAATGGAAAAAGTCCAGGCACCACCAGTTCATTAGGATACATCCTCTTGGGAACATGAACGTGTGCAACCAGTTTCCCAGGACAAGTGACATGCTGGGAGCTTTAGAGAAAATACAAAGATCACCAAAGCTGTTGGGGTTAACTCTCTCTGCTGTTGGTTTCTTTGCCACATTTCATGGCTGTTCAACCAACAGCTGTCAAGACAAACTAAAAAAAACCCTCATGGTAGCGATCGTAGTAAATCCAGAGGCTCAGCAAAGTCATAGCAGGAAAGGCCATGAACCATGAATGAGTGTACAAAAGTTCATTCAGTATCTCTGCGATCATCGGCATACTTCAGTCTGGACTGGCTGGCCGGGGTCACATTAACAGCATCCAAGACTTGAACCTGCATATTTGCCAGCCTGCCTAATTGGTCCATTCTCGTCTCATGTTTCTCTCATTGTTTATTCCTGTCTGAGAACTTCCCCTGAGTAGGATATTGCAGAGTTTTGCCTGAGGCATCAGAAATACCAGAGATACCAGTGGTTTGAAGCTCCGGTGGAGTGTTACAATTCTGTTTTTCTTTTTTAAAAGAGAAAGGGATAATCGCTGGAAGAAACAGTGTGGACTCATCATTTATACAGCCAGTGTTATCAATCAGTCCTTATAATCAATTTTATATCAAAGGAGAAGAGGTCAACACGTGTCACCGGCCTTCTTCTGCACACCTTTTTGCTCTGAGTGATAGATTGTGGTAAAGTTTTGATCATTTATTTAGCTGAATACTGAAAAAATACGGCAGCTTTACCGTCATACATATATTTATCGTTATGGAGCCGTGTTGTGAGCTGCAATGCTTTGAAACAGCTACCTTCAATCTAATCATCACTATCACTGGGTCTGGGGCTTTTTTTTTTTACATCTGACTTTTGTGTTTTATTGTAAAGCACTTTGTTTTGAACTTTGCTTTTAGCCCAGAGAAGAAAAAAAAAACAGCTTTTAGATTGTAAGTTAAATCTGATGAGAGCGTAACGTCTCGCTATGTGCCGGAGGGACCAGGCTGTGATGTGTTGTCCAACCCGACAACTCTTCTCTGTACATCTCACCAACTGGGTAACTGTGCAGTAAAGTAGATTGTTGTACTGTTTGATTCACAACATTTGAGCATACTGACACCTTAAACTAAGCTTTTAGTCTCACTTAGTTGCGATCTTCAGCTCTAAAACAAGTTCACGGATCTCACGAGCAAGTTGTCAGAATGAAACATGTCAGCAGGGCGGCTGGCTCTTCTCCATGTGACAGGACTTCAAACAGCCAATGAGTGAACTTCACCTCTCCGGCGTCTGTTCAAGCCACTCACCGTCCGACCACCTCATGGCGTCGTCCAGCTGTGGCGGCAGCCCCTTCCACAGCGTGCTGTCTTTAGGGTAGCCCAGGTCCATGCGCCGCTGGTGGTCGTCGTAGCGCCAGTAGTGGTTGTCCTTGAAGAAGTAGGTTTTGTCGTTGTGCAGCCAAACGAAGGCGGCGTCCACTCCTTCCATCGGGAGGCCGAAGTCGCTGATGGGACGAGGATAGCCCTCCTCCACGATGTTGTCTTTGAAGACCCAGTATTTCAGACCTGAAGACGGACGACACAGAAGATAAAATCTGTCTCATCATGAGTAGATCTACAGACAATAGAGACCTTTGAAAAGACTTACAAGGAAATGGAAACGACATCCAGATTTAAACATAACAGAAAAGCTGTTTTAAATTTTAAATCAAATGGGAGATTTGCTGTTTTCTTCTCTGTGATGGAAAACCGCCAACATTTTCTTAAACCTTCCATTTTAAGGAAGACGTGACCTCCCGTTTTCATCTTGACTCATCGTGGAGTCGATGAATCATGCATTTTGATTTGCTTTGATTAAACCAATTGAATTTAATATAATCCTAAAATAAAATATCGTTCAATTAGGACAGGACGGGACAGGAGGGAGGACCAAAGATCAAACTGTGTGACTGTGACTCCACCGAACCAGATTAACTTCCTCCAGGATTCAAGGCTCATTTTTAAGGGGTTAATTACATATTAGACTAGCGACACGTTACCTTTGAAAAAGACTATTTTGTGGTCCCCGGGCCGCTCGTACACGGCGTCCACGCTGTCCAGGTTGTTTGGGAGGCCTCTCCAGAAGCGATGGATCTGAGCGGGACGCAGGGAAACCAGGTGCTTCTCTCTCGTTAGGCGCCAGAAGTACTTTCCTACGAGGAAGCAGAGCAGTTTAGAATTAGGAGGACTGGATGTTGATCTACAAACAAGGACTTTTCTGACTGTAGACATCTGTCTAAACAGCCACATGCACTGGGAATAGTAGATTTAGTTTTCAAGGTTGGGTCTTATTCTCAAAGCAGAAATTCTCTTCTCTACACTTTTTCTACCGTCACCTGTAGCTTTAGCATAGTTTAGTCATGTGACCCCAGAACGGGGAAGGTCAGCTGCAAATGAGAGTTGGAAAAATGTCAGACGATGGCAGACAAAGGGTCGCATGATCCCATGTGCTGCCGACTGATTAGCAAAGAAAGCAAAAATTTCCATTTTGATGAGCTCAAAGCGGCGCGACGACGGTTTATAAACTTTTCATGCGCCGTATGTTGAACTGATGCGTAGATTGGAAAGATTTCTAGAAAGGTCTCGAGAAATGTCAGTTAAAGTTCAGCACACTTTGCCAACACTTCTCCTGCCGAAGGTATGCGAGTCTGTTTCTTGTTTCCGTTGTCAGTGGGAGGCTCGGGGTCGGTCCTCCAGAGGGCCGGCATGAAAGCCTGATGTAATTTTCGGACTGCAGCCTCTCAACAGGGCTCAACCGGCTCAGTCGGGTGTCTGCAGCTGCTGCCTTTCTCTCATTCTCATCCTCTTTCCTCTTCTCTAATTTTTTTTTTTTTTGCTCTTTTTCCACTTTCCTGTTTTTATTTTTATATTTCCCTTCCCCACACAGCTCTGCAGCTTTGCGTCTTGCCTTTCTCCCTTTGTGCCGCCGTACCTTTGAAAAAGAAGGCCTCCCCTCGTATCTGGGCCACTGCATCAAAGTGACTGGTGCATCTGTCTGGGGCATCTCGTGCCAGCCTGGGAGAGATGTGAGGAGAGGAGGAGGAGGAGAAAACATTTTTAAAAGGAGAGGAAACAAGAAACACTTAAGGAAAATTGGACATTCGTGACATTTTAAATCTTGAACAGACGATGCTGTGATCCAGTGACCGTAATCTTCTAAAACCATTATTTGCATTTGTTACGAGTGGCGTCCATTAACTTTTTCCCGCTAATCCTTTTCAACGTTTATCCTAATTTTGCTCATTCTTCTGCTGCCACCGGGCGCTTGTGCACGACTCCAAGCTAAACAAAGGAGGAGAAGCGATCAGGCTGACGTGGTGAGATCTCCGGGTGCATTTATCCCAGAGGTTTTTAAGTGATTTAAAGCACTGACGTGGCCTGCCTGCCAACGATGATACCATTAGCTCCACGGGGGCTGAGAGTGGGAGCCCGCCAGGCCTTATATCACCAACAAAGGTCTCTATTCAGAGCTCTATTAACACTACGCCGCTGCCAAGTGGTCAGTATCGGTGCCCTTGTCAGACCTAATCTAACTTTTTCACACATCGTGACCTAAAGAAGGCAAAGGGAAATAATTAATGAGGCCATTGGAAGTCTGAACATTGAGGAGAGGAGGTGGGTGAGTCGTCCAGCACTGTCTGTTTGGCTTTAACATCCTCCTTAATGCTGCCCTGCTGTTTATTCTGGTCTATGTGCAGACACGTGTGAGCGCTGAAATGGAATCGCAGACCTTCAGCATGATAAGATCTTTTTTTTACTGGACCTCCTGGGAGCCACTTTAAGGCTAGAGCTTAGCGCTTTGGGCGTACGATCGTGAGCGAAAATGCATAAATGGACAAAACGTAGTCTAATTATGCTTGATAACCTAAAAAAAAACGGCGGGCTGATAGCTGCCCGACTTCCTTCAGGGAATTACTTAATTAGATGGGCAGGCTCCCAAGCTCACTCTCTGACTCCTGGCTAATTTGCTTTGTTGGTACCTCACGACTTCCTACCCAGCTCGAAAAAACATCCCATTTACGCAAATGTTTATTTTATCCTGCACAGATTCATTACACGCCGTCTCAGCGGAAGCAGGAAGAAAAAGTAATAAAATTAAATTACAATCAGAAATCTCTATAATGAGACACAATACCAGGCAATGCATCGCACCTGTATGAGGCCCAGCAATGTAGTTTGTTTTATTGTCCTTAACGTGGAAATAGGAACGTTTTATAACGCGCAGTTTATCTGCATTCGTGGAGGTTTACGAGCATGTTTGGCTTTTGCAAACTCCAACCACGAGATGAATCAGAAAGCAGCACTAGTTCTGATGACATGTGTCAGGATTCGGCTGCATGTTTTGGTACCAGAACACTCATCTCTGCTGCAGAACAGGCCGGGACGCGTAGAACAGGAGTGAAAAAAGGTCGGAAAATATTTGGCTACGACATGCAAAACTGCAGCACCGGTGATGCATCTGATGGAGGCAAAACAGTCCCAGAGACAGCAAAGTGGACTTTAACACATGACATCATAACAGCTATTTTTCTTGTATGTGAACATTAGTCTACTTACAGGACCGTGGATCTATTTTCAGGAAGGTCCAGCAGAACGGGCGGCTCGGCCGTCTGAGAAGGGTTCACCGGCTGATTTGTGTGGGACACTGAGTCTCTGACACCTAGAACGACATCAAACACCGACTTAATATCAGACACAGCATCCGTTAGGTTGATTCATCGCTATTTATCCGATTCCCAGCCATTTGTTTTGTTGCTGTTTTCCTATATTCTCGCCTCCTTTTGTCCGTTCTGTTTCTTTGTTCACTCACGCGCTGCACTTCATTCCACTTCGGTGAGATTCGAACCACTTTTTCCTTCATCATTTATCCCTGCGCTGCTTCTGCTTCGTGACCATCACTCCTCCTTCCCCTTTCTCACCCCGCCACTTTCCATATCGGGGCAAAGGTGTGATGAAGTCACATGCCATAACGAGGTCCAATTAACTCCGTCCATGTTTGCATTAGATCAATAGCGCTGCTCCACAGAGCTCATCAGCTGCTGCCCACAGCGTGAGGAGGCCTCTGTATCTCCAGAGCTGTTTCCACCACCGCACTGAGAAACATCCATAATTACAGCAGAGAGTCGTGAGTCATGGCCGGTGGGGGAGAGCAGACATCAAGAAGAGCCAGAAGCATGTTTGAGACCGTTTGCTGTGATGATGCATCGGGACAATCAGCTAATTTAGCCTGCAGCTTAAACTTCATGTTCATAACGAGATGATGGAAACAATAACTGTGTGTCCAGGAGATAATGACACACAGGTTCAGCAAGAAGCAGAAAGTCAAAAAGATAAGAATGAATAAACTTCCCATTCATGCCACACATGCTGTTTCTTCCATGTTGCCCTTCATAGTGATGGAGCCACTTTGTTCTTCCCCACCGCGGGCAGAGCCAAGGGACGGACCCCAACGGCCAAAACAGAGTCCGGCCACAACACAGAACCAGCAGTGAAGCCTCCTGGAGGGCTACTCATAGATCTGATCCAGCAACTACCAGTTTTCTGGGCCATTTTCTTGCAGGACCA